GCCGGAAGCCTCGCTGCAGGTCCTTGGGTGGAAAAGGAGGGTGTGCTGTCAGTAGCAGGTGCTGATGGTGGTCTGGCCATTAGCGTCGTATGGATGTAAGTGATGGAGGAGTCTGTGCACAGGGAGGATACTGGAAAGAGGAAAGAATTAGTTATTTTCACTCCCTGGGACTGTGGTTCCACCTGCTGCTTCCGTTGCACCCCCCCTTCCCCCTTTTTAACCACCCCCATCCCGCCCCAGATGGATTTAACATTAAAATCCAGCCAAGTCTTCCACAGTCTCTTTAGAAGTTACTACTGGGTTTTTCTCTTCCTCCTCCTCTGCTCTCTCTTCCTTCCCCTCCTACCTCTGCACCTGTGTCCCTCTTCCTCTTCCTGCCCCGTCCCCACCCCTCTCCTTAGGGGGAAGAGCAGGGTAAAGGAGAGGGGTAGTTGTGGCCCGTAGATGGCTGGCCGTTTTCTAGATGGAGATGCACGAGACACAGTTTATGAAGCGTGGCCTTCCTGTCCCCCAGAAGCCTTCAAGGACGTGGTTTGCTTTTGCATTTAAAGTGGGAGTGGCCCCAGGTGCTCTGTCCATCCAGTGCTCCTTTTGCCAGAGGCTGGCTAGCGCTCCAGTCTGGGAACCGCTGACACCCGTGCTCACCGAGGCCTGCCCTTCTGCCCCCAAGGGCAGTGTGACCTCTCACTGCCTGATCCAGCGCTGGGAGCTCGGGCCTCAGCCTGCAGAGCTGGTCCGGGGTATTCTCCCGGCCTCTGCTCTGACTGTAGGGGTTTCACTCCTCCATCTTTTTTTTTTTTTTTTTTAACAAAAATGGAAAATTATGTAGCCACATGGAGGAAGTGCACAGGAAGAAATAAAAGGCCCCTAACCCTCCCTGGCTCGCAGTCTTATGATTTCTGAACACGTGATTGGGGTTATCTGCTCAGTTCACCCTGCTTCTTGAGCAAAACTGACACCCCATATCTACCCCCAATCTGCAGATGATATCAGAGGTCAGAAGGCCACATTTGAAGTTCTTTAAATGTATATAAGTGGGCGGTCCTATAAAAATAGGCGCATGCGCTTAAAGAACCCAACCATCAAATCCCCGGCTTTTGAAATGGCCCGATTTCCGGGGCACACGCCGATGTTTCGAGTCCAGTGGCTACAGACGTGCTCCCCACCGCTCAGCTGCAACCCCTCGCCCATGCGGGGGCGACCAGGGTCCTGACACCTAGCGTTTACACTCGGCGTTTTAGCTCAGGAAGAATGGCCACGTGTGTGCACATCGAAAATGCATCTTCACTGGGACATGCGGTCATTTCAAGAGCAACAGATTTCAAAGCTCAGATCGTGCTGCTCGGCCTCCGCCACCCCTGATTCCTTCCGTCTCTTCTCCTCGTGAAGTTACGGAGCTTGCCCCACGGTTAAGGGGCAATTCGGCCTTTCCCCCTTTGCCCCGGGCCTTACGCTGGCAAAGAGCCCATGCATGCTTCATCCTCAGACTGCAGCTAACTCTCCTAATTGCTAACTAGAATAACGAGAAATGCCCTGTCCCCAGGGTACGTTGCTGAGAGGATGGCTTTCGGGTTATAATTAACTCCTTTAACTTGGACTTGACTGTTTCACCTCCATGTTTCCCAAAGTCCTGAGGATGACATACCAGCAAAACATTAACCTCCATGAAGGATTCTTCAGCCAGAAGTTTGCTATCAAATCCTATCCTACAGCAGGGATTCCCAAAATGAACTTTGGCGGGGAGGGGGGGGGGGCTGACCTATCTTGAAGGGATATGGTTACCACATATCAAAAGCTAAGCTTAATCTCTTCTCTCAAACCTAACCCCAGTTCCTAGTCTTCTGTTTTTAAAAATATATATTTTATTGGTTTTTTTACAGAGAGGAAGGGAGATAGAGAGTTAGAAACATCCATCAGCTGCCTCCTGCACACCCGTTACTGGGGATGTGCCCGCAACCAAGGAACATGCCCTTGACTGGAATCGAACCCGGGACCTTTCAGTCCGCAGACCGACGCACTATCCACTGAGCCAAACCGGTTTCGGCTAGTCTTCTATTTTTTATAAAACGGACACACTGTCTTCTCAGTCCTCCACCTCTCCCTTCTTTTCTCCACATGCAGTTGCCTGCCAATCCCACCCACTGGGCTCCGTGCTCCCAGCGCCCGCTTCTCCCCGTCCCCACGTGCCGCTGCCCTGGACCAGGCCGTGGGGGCGGGTTTCCCCAGTCTCCCCCTCCTGCTCGGCGCACTGCTCACGCTCCTGTGGATTTCTCTCCCACACATCGCCCACCGTCACCACCTCCCTGCCGGGGGCCTACAGGCCTCCCACTCGCGCGTGGATTTAGGGCTTCTCGGAGGGCTTGCTGAGCCGCAGCCCCGGAGTTCCTCACCCAGGGGATCTGGCCACGGGCTGGTGATGCGCTTTTCTACCAGGGCAGTGCGTCCCCTGGTCATCCTCCGAGGCCTCGACTCCGGGGCGAGCCAAGCTCCGTAGTCTCCAGGCTGCTCCTGTCTGCTCGCTCTGACTTCCTCCCTGCTCTCGGCTCAGCTGTGCTCACTGGAGCCCCTCAGGTCACGTAAGGACACGCGCCAGGCTCCTCCGGAGCAAGCTCTGCGTCTTATCCCCTGATTCCCATCTCGCAGTTGACAGGTGTGGTCACGATGCAGTTGACACGGGGGTGTAGGGGGGGGGGGCATGGCTTTTGTAGACAAAACTCTGAGAGCGTCAGCAGGCCTTCCCCGTGGAGGCAGGCCCCGCGGTGCAGACAGCGCAGGCAGCGTGGCCAGGAGGCCTTTGTTCACGCAGAGGGCTCCTCCTCACCAGGCTTTTCACGCCTCTTCCCCTTCTTAGCCTTTTCTTCTCCCCGTTCCCTGGCATTTCATTCCCATCCCTCTTCTCTTCCTGCCTCGTCACGATGGTTGAAGAGGTTTCTGAATCTTACTCTAAAGCCACAAAATTGCTTCTGAATTCTAATCTGAGCATCTTTTGTAGCAAAGATGCTGGACAAGAAGGACCGTTATTGTATCGGGGCATGCTATAGGGTGTCTGAGTCAGAGTCTACATGTTCATCTTTTACAGGAAACAGGCACATTGTAGTTCAGCTAAAAATAACCCGGGGCACGGACACATGGTGACCCCATTTTACAGACGGGAAAGCAGACTTAGCGCTGAAGCAGTGATGACGCAGGGTTCTGTTTCCATCTTCATGCACACGGACAATGACTGCTTTGCTTTCTTTCTAAAGCTGCATGCTGTAGTTACTAACTGTATCTGGCGTCGTGGCTGCAGGTAGGAGGGAGTTTCTGCCACGTTAGAGAAAAGTGTGTGAAGATAGGAAATATGCCTGGGTGATATTTACTCCAGGAAATTATTAGCAGTTTTAGATGAAGACTTAAATACCCATGTGTAGCGCCTAGCGGAGACTGAAAAAGACACACAAATGTAGACCCACAGAAAAAGCCCGAAGAGACTCACCGCACTGGGAATAGGGCCAGTCGTTTTGTCCTTGGTGTTAGTCAAAACTTTTTTACTCTGTAAATGATAACTTGGAGGGGGAGGAAGAGAGCCTGTGGGAGGAGCCGAGAAGAATTATAATTAAAAAACAACAAGATGCCCTAGCTGGTTTGGCTCAGTGGATAGAGCGTTGACCTGCGGACTGAAGGGTCCCAGGTTCGATTCTGGTCAAGGCCACATGCTGGGGTTGCAGGCTCGAACCCCAGTGGGAGACATGCAAGAGGCAGTCAATCACTGATCCCCTGCCATCATTGATGTTTCTCTCTCTCTTTCCCTATCCCTTCCTCTTTGAAATCAATAAAAATATATTTTAAAAGATTTAAAATTTTTTTTAAATGTTAAAAATCTTAAAAAATAAAAATAAAAAAATAAATAAAAAACAACAAGATCCCAGCTGGTGTGGCTCAGTGGTTAAACATCGACCTATGAACCAGGAGGTCATGGTTGCATTCCTGTCAGGGGCACATGCCCGGGTTGTGGGCTCGATCCCCAGTAGGGGGCGTGCAGGGAGCAGCCAATCAGTGATTCTCTCTCATCATTGATGTTTCTTTCTCTCTCTCTTCCTCTCTGAAATCAAACATATATATATATATATATATATATATATATTTTTTTTTTTTTTTTTTTTTTTTTTTTTTTTAAACACAACAAGAAAAGAAATCCATCCAAACATGCCTGGCCCTCGTTACCTTAGGGAGGGTCTCCTCGTGGCTCTTCCCATCAGCTCTGCCTGCACAGCTGGCCTGCTCTTCTTCCTGAAGGCCTCCCTGCCTCCTTTCTTAGCACCTCCAGCCAGCAGCGACTCCTCCCACCTCTGAACAATCCTTTCTTGCTGGCCCCATCCATCTCATTTCCCCAAAAAAGCGTCTCCTGGCGTTGCAGCTGGGAAGGCCCCTCTCCTGAGTTAAATAGAATGGCAGGCTCTGGCCCCACAGGAGCTGGCCTTTGACTCCTCAGTGCCTGTGTCTAGACCCCCTGCAGTGTCTGTGGCCCCGAGGGCGCAGCAGCTCACAGGGTGATAACAACTGCCCCTCAGGTGACCAGGCTGCCACTGCGCCAGCACCAGGGGGGAAGACAGCCAGAGGAGGGCGCCCTGCGGCTTCCGCTCTGCATGCTGTGAGTGTGCGGACACCGTGCCCAGACGGGTCTGCACCTCCTGGGTCTGACAGCCATGATCGCAACTGGCAGATGCTCTGAGAAACCAGAGTTCCCGGTCAGCAAAGGGAACGACGGGAATGACCTCAGAGAGAGAGTATGGTCAGCTCTACTTCGTAAAAAATACTTTGGATAATGCGTGGAAGCGAAACCGAACGTCATTTCCCTGCCAGCTGACCCGACGGGTCCTCTGCTCCCCCTCCCTCCAGGGCATGCAGCAAGCACTGCTGGCTCGCCTGCTCCCCAGGGCTCCGGGTTCGAGGCGGGCATGCGAGGCGTCTTGTTTTCAGCGCTTCCTCCTAATGTGCTGCCTGCCTGCCTCTCCCCGCAGGGCAGCGGCGGCGCGCGGAGGTCCACGCTCCTGGAGGGTGACGAGCCCATGGCCTTCTTCTATGACGACGTCAGAACGCTGTACGAAGGTTTCCAGAGGGGAATCCACGTGTCCAGTAAGCACCGACCGAGTTTCTGTGCAGATGCTGATTCCATTCCGGAGTGGCCTTCCTTCGTGTCTCCCTCTCCCTCTCCTCCCAAGACTCCTCCAGAGGGAGACCCCGAGCCCACGGCCCCTCCAGACGCTCCCCGTGGCCGCAGCGTGGGTGCCGTGTCCAGCACGCCGTGTGTCTCACAGTCACATGCACACTCGCTCGCGGTGGGGCCCACGTTCCCTGCAGCCACCAGACCCGCCTCCCTGGGCCTCGTCCGGCATTTTCCAAAGCTCTCCATCAGGACACTCATATTTTAAGAAGTAAATGCTGGCGTCCCGAGGAAGCGGTGTTCCTTCTGTCGGGGGCACTGGGAATGGGACGGCACTTAGTGACTGACGGTGGCCGCAGAGACCCCGGTGTCCCGCCCCTGCCCTCCCTCCCGGCCCTCGGCCAGGCTTGTCACGGGCACTTCCCAGGACGCCAGCCTCTGTACCTGCCCTCCCCATCCATCACTGAGCCTGTTCTTCCCACCTGCCTGGGCACTTGTATGTTCTTACTAACCCTCTGAATTCAGGCTGCGCTTCTCCTTTTCTGTAACCCCTTTCCGGGCTGTCATCTCCCTTCCCCTTCCTTCAGGCCGGTGCGGCCCACCCCCCTCTCAGCATCCGCACCCTTTTACCGCCTCCGTGACCAGGATTGCCGTCTCTTCTTCCCACATTGACTCAGCCTGGCACTCACACCTCTGCACCCCCACCCCTCCTTTTGCTTTAATCTCTTCGCTTTTGCTTGTTCCAGGTTCCTCTCCAGAAGCGGTCCTTGGCGTCCACGCTGTATTTAAATCTGCTGGCGGTTAGACTGTAATCTCCTTAGGTTACGGACTGTGGTGCTATTGTCCCCCTCCCCTGTCCCCCACATGCTGCCTGTGATGTGTGTCGAGAGGTGCTTTTCCTTGACACTGGCAAGTTGGACTCTGGGTTCACCGTCGCCCCGGCAATCCTGTAGCACACTCATTAAGCCCCCCTATAAAGGGAAAGTGAGCGTACCTCTAGATTATTGAATTGACAGGTTTCTTCAGAGTTAGTATCAGGGTAAGGGTTTGTCTATGAGAATAAATAGAAGGTAGATCAGCCTAATTAAGGGCACATGAAAAAAAAAATATATATATATATGCCTGTGTGTGTGTGTATGTGTGTGTGTGTATCATTTACCACCATGACAAAGCACACATGTGTGTAAATATACATACATTTTTCCCGTGGTTAGCAGAGGATGAGATTCATCCAGGAGGACACTTCTGAGTGTCCCCTGATGTTAAGTCACGTAACTTTGGGGGGTCACTGTCTCTACTTGGGAAATGAAGGACTTACATGAATGTTTCAGAGACGTTGAAGAAAAGTAAGTTCAGTGATTTTCGCTTATACTGATTGAAGAGGGTTGCTTTCCAGGTTATTTTATTCTTTTCTTTTCCCCCAGAGGAACTTTTTATTCCAAGCTTTAGTTTTCCAAGGCTGCCATAGACTGACCTTCTGTAGGAGAGCGTGGCCAGCATCTGGATAGGTGGAGGTTGCCGAATGATGGCAGAGCCAGCTGAGAGTTTTCAGACCTGGTGTTTGAAAGCTGTGCCGGGGCGCGGTTTGCAAAGATTGCGATCCCCGTTCAGTGGTTCCCATCCCCAGCTGCACTTCAGGGTCAAGCGGGGGCGGGGGGGGGGGGGGTGAGGGAGGTGTGTGGAGCTTTTGGAAAATACTAAGGCCCAGGCCCCATCCCTGTCCGGTTATGTCAAGAACGTTGCTAGCAGGGCCTGGGTATAGGGTATATTTTAAGTTCCCCAGCTGAGCCTGGGCTCACTGCTAGAGTCCACGAACTTCTCCTGTGAAGGGCCAGATAAGGGGATGTTTTGGGGTTTGGGGCCATCAGGTCTCTGTTTCAACGATTCGGCTGCAGCCTTAGATAATATGTAAAGGAGTGAGTGGGCTGCGTTCCAGAAAGTGTGTTTACAGCGCAGGGGGCGGGCCTGATTGGCCCTGGCTGTGGGTGGCCCACCCCTTTTCTTGAGGAAAAAAGAAATATTATTTCTTACGGCCACTGTACTTTTTTCGAAACCACATCTGGTGGAACTTGTCGTGGTTGGCGGGTCTTTTTCACTTTTGGAGATGACAGTGTCATACAGCATTGTATCCGTTTCAGGTGTACAACACAGTGATCCCACAGTGAAGAGCTCACACCCATCACCACACAGAGTCACTGACTGTGCTGTTTTCACACACACAGAACTGTGTGGTTCCCTGTGCCCTGGGCATCACCCCAGGACCCACTTGCTGGCCCCGGCAGCCGGGCCTTCATGGCAGCCCCTGTGGGTGGAAGAGGCTGTGAGGCCAAGGCCCCTGGCACTCTCTCCTACATCGGTCAGGTCGGCCTCGGAGCCAGGCCTCAGGACGGCCCAAGTCCTCACCACTGATGCTGGAACCCACACGCGCACCACACCTCTCAGGCCCCGGAGCGGCCACACTCTGCTTTTCCTCCCCCTCCCTCCAGGTCCCCGCCCCAGAGAGGAAGCCCTCCACTGGCTCAGACACAGGACGGTGAAGCCAGATGCTCACGTCTCAGAGCCGAAGTGTAGAGGCCTCGGTCAGATGGGAGGTGATAACCCTTCCAGCTTCATTCCGATTCCCGGGGGAAGGAGCGAGCAGGCCCAGCACGCAGAGCTGCTGGCAGACCTGGTTTCCCTGGGACACATTCCTGTGTGCGGTCACCTCTGACCGTCTGAAAGTGGCAGCTTTTTCCCCGGTGAACGTAGCCTTTCCCTCCAACAGCTACCGCGGAGCGTAAGGTTCGCTTGGGATCCATCTGTAGAAAGGAACATGTGTCATTCCACATGTAAATGACTTGGATTGTATTTATTAATGAGCTAGCCGTTGGTGTGAATAATTCCTATAACTAACATGGGTCTTTCTTTCTGCTTATTAGGTACCTAATTTGGAGTCAGGACGCATCCTGATATTTCCTAATGTTTGCATATGCCTTCTCTCATTTTCCTCCTCTCCTATCCCACTTAAGGAACAAAATAGAAATAAACAAGAAAAAAAAAATCAAACCGAAACCCAGGGAGAATTATTTCCCACTGAACTCATTATTTCTTCTTTTTAAAAAAAAATATATATTTTATTCATTTTTTACAGAGAGGAAGAGAGAGGGACAGAGAGAAACGCCGATGAGAGAGAATCATCGATCAGCTGCCTCTTGCCCACCCCCTACTGGGGATGTGCCCGCAACCAAGGTACATGCCCTTGACCGGAATCGAACCCGGGACCTTTCAGTTCGCAGGCCGATGCTCTATCCACTGAGCCAAGCTAGTTTAGGCTGAACTCATTATTTCTAACCTGAGGACCATCAGAGACTCCCAGAGACTGTAGAACGAGGTGCACTACACCCTGAGATGTTGATACATGTTACACCATTGCTTTCTCCTCTTTCAGATAACGGCCCTTGCTTGGGCTCTCGGAAGCCAGACCAGCCCTATGAGTGGCTTTCCTACAAGCAGGTGAGTTTTGGGGCTCGGTGGGCGCCTTGCATAGCTGGAGTGGCTCGGTGTGTGGGTTCTCGGAGCCCTCCGCAGAATGTCTGTGCCTGACCAGCTCAGAGCTTTAGAGAAACATGCAGCATCTGCTGGGGAAGTCTGACACACAGATTTGGGGAAAACCAGTGAACTGATTTAGCTGGTGGTTCAAAGTATTTAATTTTGATTGATTGATTGATTGATTGTTTAATTGATTTAGAGAGAGAGAGAGAGAGGCGGGGGGAGGGAGAGACAGACATCAATTGGTTGTTCCACTTACCGATGCACTCACTGGTTGATTCCTATATGTGCCCTGACCAGAGATGGTACCCACAGCCTTGGTGTATCAGGATGATGCTCCAACGAACTGAGCTCTCCAACCAGGCCTTCCGCACTTTGTTTTGGAGTCAATGGATGCATTGTGAAGTAGAGTATAATTTTGAACATAAAATTCTAGAAATGTGTTGAAGCAGGTGGCTAGACCCGTGGAGGAATAGGTCTGCTCCCCTCTGCCGTGAGAGGCGAGAAGCCCCAGTATAGAATAATCCTCATTTGTAGATGAGGAAGACGGGTCCCAGGAAGCGATGGGCTCGCCATGGTCCCAGCTGGTTAGTGGCAGGAGCCCGGCCAGAAGTGGGGTCCTTTCCATCTGGTGTGGGGCTCAGCAGTGTGTCCTGGCCAGCGTGGGACCCCTGCGACATGTGACCTGGGGCCACCACCCACAGCCGCACGGAGACACGCCCTTGCTCATCACAAATACCAAGGACGCGGGGATCTGTCTGTTCTCACGCGTGTCCCTCCGCAGCCCCGCCTCGTCCACGTGGGCTGGTCAATAGTGGTTTGTGAGTGGCGGGTAGCAGAGCAGGAGGACACTGCCCTTTAGTTGTCATTTGATGATTCCTGTGAGTCCACATGCGCCTGCTTCTCGGTCCCAGTGGAGCTGCGGACCCGCAGGAGCAGCTGGCGGCGGCGGCCAGGCTGCCTTTGTCCCCAGCGCAGCTGCCAGGAAGTGCTCCCTGCTCCAGGGGCGGGCACTGGCCTCTGTGCGCACTCAGGCTTCCTCCTTCCAGGCTGGGTGTGGGCGTGTGGCTCACAGTCGCTGTCATCCGGGTGTGCGTGTGGAGGGGTTGTCATTAGGAGCCACGAAGCCAGCTCGGGAGCCAGGCTTTCTGTCTCCCAGCACCAGCACACAGCATCCTTCCCGTCCCTCGTCTGAGCACCAGCGGCTCCACGGCTTTGCTTGGGTATCTTGAGAGAGAGGGCAAAAAGGCGAGAACAATAGCACGCCTTGAGTGTAGGCATGACTGGATGGATTTTGCTGTTTTGTTTGCCTTCCCAAAGCCAAACAAAATAGTGTTCAAATAGTAGTTTTCGAGATCCCTCCTTTTTGCATGTGGTGCAAAGACCGTGTGTGTTGCATGATGGTCTCAGGCCTCAGCATCCTCAGGTGCATTCTGGATCACCTGTGCTGCATTACGTTCAGCAATATTTTCCCACATTGCTTCTCTCACATGTCGGCGGGAAGCAAGAACACCCCATTGCAGGCTGGGATTTCTTTTTCTTTTCTTTTCTTTTTTTTAAAAATATTTTTATTGATTTTTTACAGAGAAGAAGAGAGAGGGATAGAGAGTTAGAAACATGGATGAGAGAAAATCATCCATCAGCTGCCTCCTGCACACCCCCCACCAGGGATGTGCTCGCAACCAAGGAACATGCCCTTGACCAGAATCGAACCCAGGACCTTTCAGTCCGCAGGCCGACGCTCTATCCACTGAGCCAAACCGGTTTCGGCTAGGCTGGGGTTTCTGAGCAGACAAGCTCACTGGGGTTCTGAAGGTTCATCTCGGTGTGGCTCCTGTTCGTCAGGCTGGTGGACATAATCACTGGACTCCCCTGACGCCAACTTTGGATTTGTACATTTCTGTCTTTTTTTCACCACCTGGGGGTTCTGGCCTTGGAGGGCAGCAACCCCTTTCGAAGAAAGGTATGGACCCTCTCTCTAGAGACGGAGACGGAAGGTCACGCATGTTCTCCCAGGGGGCTCTCTGCACACACTGCAGACATGTCCCAGGTCCCCGTCCCTCAGTGCCAGTGATGGCTGTGAAACAGCCACGGGGTGTGGGGGATACTAGATCCTAAGGTCACCCTCTGTCACCGACCGGTGTCGGCTCTCATCCCATGGCAGAGCCACGGTGGGCGTACGTGGCAGAGCCAGCCGCGTTCTGGGTCCAGGAGGTTGCTTCACCCCCCCGCAGGTGTGGGCGTGAGCCCGGAGCGCTCCTGAGAAGCAAGGAGAGAACTCCGATTTTACAGATTACAAACGCTTTTTTAAGTTAATCTAGGCAGGAATGGAGAGAGGATGGGGCAAGTATATAGTCCTGTCTCCTTTTTTATACATCTGCCTGTTTTTATTTGGTTGTAATAACAGTATGCATTGTTGTATATTTTCACTTAGGATGGTCCCACACATTCTAAGTTTGGTGTGGTTTCCGTAACTGTAATATGGACGCGCTGTATGGCACTTCCCAGCCGTGGCCCCCGTCCCCTGGAGGTCCTGTGACTTTTCATGGGTGGGGAACGTCCAGCCCGCGGGGTGTTGAGGCCCACGGGACCATTTGGTGTGGCCCTGCCAAGACCAGATGATTAGTAAATTAAATGTTTGACCAACTATAGCAGGCTGACTTTTAGATTGATAATCGTGTATGGCCCGCACATTATGTTACACATATCCAAATGGCTGTTGGCAGAAAAAAGGGTTTCCCACCCCAGCAGGCAATTGTGAAATATGCGTCTTTGTACATACACATTTTTAAGCCTCCTTTTAAAAATCGAATTATTTCCTAAGAATCAAGTCTCAAGAATGGAAGTGGAGAGCCCAGTGAGAAGAACTTCCTTCCTCTTTTAAAAGATCTTCCCCCAAACGTGCTGTTTCGGTGTTGATACCAAATGACAAGTTTTGGCTGCTTGGCTGCTCTCTATAAATACAAAAAAGAAAAAAAGAAAAAAAAAAACCCGCGTCCCTGTATGCTTTTGTAATGTGACGGGGTCTGTACACCTGAGGCATGAACGGGCCTGGTGGGAATTCCTGCCTGTGGCTGCCGCCGTGGCTCTGTGGGAGGCCCGTCAGCAGTGGGTCCTGGTGAGGAAGCCGTGCTGTTCGGGACTTGGCCCCGAAGGTTCCTCTGCTCTCGCCTCCTCTGTGCGTGCTCTCCCCCCCACCCCCGAGCCTCGTCCTGGGGGGGGGGGGCCTGAGCGGCCACTGCTTCTCCTCCCTCCAGGTGGCGGATATGTCGGAGTGCGTGGGCTCGGCACTGATCCAGAAGGGCTTCAAGGCCGCCCCCGACCAGTACATCGGCATCTTCGCCCAGAACAGACCTGAGGTAAGGCCCCGCAGCCCCGACCGACCGACCGACCGACCGACTGACCCATCTGTCCGCGGCTCTGAGCGCTCTCCGGTGGAAGAGCCAGTCAGCCCACACCTGCCCCCGCTGGGGACCAGATCTTGTGGCCGGATTTCTCCTGAGAATGTGGCTTTGGGTCCCCCCTTAGGAAGTTACACGTGTAAAACCCCGCGCCAGGGCTCCCCCGAGCATCCCGCACATTTGCCTGGGAGGTCGATGAGCTGCTATGTGGAGACCAGATGTTACTGCTTCACTTCTTTTACATCGTTCCTATTCTGGGGAGGTTTTGTCAGAACAGTTTTCCTGTTGGACAAGTGCATCCCTCCTTGCCCCGTTCCCACCCAGTGCACGCCTCAGCCAGGCTGACCTTCCTCCGTCCACAGTCACTGTTTCGCTGAGAAGCCCTGGAGGCTGTGCCTCGCCTGGGGACCGGAGCCAGGCGCCTCCCGAGCCAAGGCTTGCCCTGGCCCACGGCGAGCCTTCTGGTCCCCACTCCCTCGGGGACCGCCAGGCCAGCCAGCGGCTCACTGACCTCCTTCCTGCTTTGAACTCTGCAGTCCCCGCTCTCGGGATCTCCTTCCTTTCTCTCCATCTGTCCACAGGGTGCTGCTCTTGCAAGGGGCAGCCCAGTTACTCCCCCAGAGAGGTGGCCCTCGGGGCTCCGAGTCACTGGCTGGTCTTGGTAATTGCCTTGCACAGTTGCCTCCATCCTCCCAGCAGATGGCACCTGCTTCTAAGCAGGGGCGAGTGTTTGGTCCTCACTGAGAATCCCTCGCGGTGCCCGGATGTGCTTTGGTTCCAGGGTTGGTCTCCGTGCAGTGGCTCCATGATGACGTGTCCTTTTCTCTCCCAACCCTCCCTGTCTGTGCAGTGGGTGATCATTGAGCAGGGATGCTTTGCTTTCTCCATGGTGGTCGTTCCCCTCTATGACACCCTGGGGACTGAAGCCATCACTTACATAGTCAACAAAGGTACGTGTGGTCTGCGGGTGGACACCGGCCTCGTTGTTAGGTTCTGTGATTGACATTTGCTTATATTTGATTTGAAATGGATTTTATATTTAAACTAGAGGCCCAGTGCATGAAATTCGTGCATGGGGGGGAGGGGGTTCCTCAGCCCAGCCTGCACCCTCTTACAATCTGGAATCCCTCAGGTAGGGTCCCCAGGCCTGCCTGGCAATCGGGCCTATAAGGGCCTTTCTTCCCCCAGCTGCCGGCAGCTGCCCACTCCCCACCCCCTTCCCCTGCCACTGGTTGCCTCCCTCTGCAGGCAACGGGCATGGGTGCAATTGCTTGGCTGGCCTGGGCCTCCCTCTGTGGGGGGATTGATCATGGGCACCCAGATCAATCGCCCCACAGAGGAAGGTCCCACCCACCCACCCATCGCAGAACTACCAGCCGGTGGCCTGGGCTTCCCTCTGTGGGGCAGTGGATCATGGGGCTCTGTGATCAATAGCCTGGCAGGGCTCTGAAATTGATTTTCACTCAAAGGGTGGTCTGGGCCTCCCTCTTTCGGGTAATCGTGGAGACTCCCAGCTCCCTCCCCCCGCCCATCGGGCTGCCCTGCAGAGAGTGGCATGGGGCAATGGCAGGGCCCCCTGACCAATCGCATCACACCCACCTTGGCTGGCCTGGCGCCAGTGCACGTCATAGCGTGGTCGTCCGGAAGGTCCGGACAGTCATTCTGCTGTGCAGTCAATTTGCATGTTATAATTTTATTATAGATGTCCATCTACCTTTTTTTTTAAATTATGCAGTCAAGCTCGTTTTCCAGAGCATCTTGCTCATTGTACCTCTTGTTCTCCAGCTGAACTCGCCCTGGTTTTTGTGGACAAGCCAGAGAAGGCCAACCTGCTATTGGATGGTGTAGAAAACAAGCTGACCCCCTGCCTTAAAATCGTGGTTCTCATGGACTCCTACGGCAGCGATCTGTTGGAGCGCGGCAAGAAGTGCGGGGTGGAGATAATCAGCATGAAGGCCATGGAGGTGAGTCCTGCTCTGCCCAGGTCTGGAGGGGTCCCCAGGGTCATCTGGGCACAGGCGTGGCCTCCACTGGGCCACACGGGCTCAGCCCCGGCTGGCTGCCTCAGCCATCAGTGATACGGAGCAGAAGCTCCTGTCTCGTGTGAAAAGAATTCACGTGCACGCCCACAGTCAGTCCCCTCTGACAGTCCTCTCCTCCAGTGAGCTGCAGTGCCCACCCGTTTATTACAGAGCCGGACACGCCGCGCCAGTGAAGGCTGGGAACTGTAGTTCAGTTGCAGGCAGGGACTTAACTTTGTGCCTCTTTAGGCTTTAGTGCCTTTTACTCTCCGACTTGTATCTAAAACGGAGCCAGGTATGGACATCCGCCTCCCTATTCTTTTCCCCCAAATTGTTTTTGGAGAGGCCTGGTGAATTTCCAGCAGGGATGTTGGATTTGGCTTATTTTCATACCAAATTTCTTCAAGTTCACATTCATTACAACGTTAAAGGTAACCATTCTGGGGAAATGAGTGCGGCTCGCACTGAAATCAGCTGTTAGGCGTCAGCTCCCGTGAGAAGCTGATCCTCCCCGTTGGCTTGGAAATTAGAGTTCAATCCCAAGCTGCAGGCAGGAGGGGGACCTCGCATGGACACATCATAGCAAGAGACAGGCTGCACAGAGCCAGCAGTTCCCTTTCTGAAAACCTTATGTGCCTTCCTGGATCTGTTATAAATAGGGTTTAAAATGTGTGCGTGGTTTTCCATAAGGCATCGAGGTTCTATTAGTAAGGATCTATCAGCCCTTTCCTGGGGAAATTCAACATCAGAGAGAAACTGTCATTTGTTGTAACAGAGCCTCCTGCCTCACTCACAGACACACACACACACACACACAGTCACACATCACACACAGTCACACATCACACATAGAAACATACACTCATACACACATACAGTCATTGAGGTATATGCCCTTCGCCGGAATCGAACCCGAGCCCATTCAGTCTGTGGGTCGACATTCTAACTGCCCAGCCAGATGGGCCAAGGCGAATCCGTCCTTCGTAACCTTCACGCCCATTCTGGAGCAGCCTTACACCTTCCATCCCGGCCTGTTTGGTAATCAGAGGTTCCCAAGTCCTGTCTCCGCCCCACGTGGGCTTCCGAATGGCTGGCATTGACATCTGCAGGCTGGCTCCCTCTCTCCGGGTGGAGCTGTTCGATAGGCAGAACTGGGTGAGCAGGTGCCTTGCTGTGCTCTGATTTGGGGACCGGGCTAAGCACTTACAGCCAGCTCTTTGGTGACAGTCAGGAACTGGGTTTTGTGAAAGGCCAGAATAGGGAGTAGGGGCCAGGAAATCGATCGTGAAACACTCTGATTCCTGTCTTTGGAATAAATCTTATTGCAAAGGCCACCCTGATACCACTTACAGAGTCTGGTGTCAGAGAGAGGTGTCTGGACAGTGGCTTCTTGGAGCAGTGCCTCCGTTTTTTGGTTCAGGTTGACTTGAGTTGCCGTCGTTAGTGGAATAGAAATGTCTGCTGTCTTTGAGCAGCCGTCAGTGAATCCACAGCGAAGTCAGACGAAGGGACTTGATGTGATCTTCTTTGCATTGAGAAAAGTGTCCATGTAATATGTTTTTCTCTTTTCTTCAGGACCTGGGAAGGGCCAACAGGAAGAAGCCCAAGGTAAGACTCTGCCAGGCCCGCCACAGTCCCCTGGCGTTCCACTAGCTGGTCGCCTCGGAGGCCAGCGAGGATGGTAGGTGAAGGGTTACGGCTCACAGCTGTCTGTTCTGACTTAAGCCGCTTCCTTCTTCTCCTCTTATGTGCCGCAGCCTCCAAAACCTGAGGACCTTGCAGTCATTTGTTTCACAAGTGGAACCACAGGTAAGTCCTGCAATAGACTTGCCTCTGAGTGACAGGCAGTGTGTACTCCCTGCCTCCTTTGAGGATGAGTTCCTCGGGCTGTAGATGGACCGAAGGCAGAAGAGACGGAAGTGGTTCAGACACTGTCTTCGCATCCCCCTGAGAGACATTCTCAGAATCTGAGTGTCACATATTTCCTCAGCCACTTATTGAAGGGGACACTCCATCCATCATCCTGAGACACAAACCCCGTATCACTGACTTACAGAAACACAAACAAACTCCTGTCTTGTCTTCTCCCGTTGCCACACACCCTCCGAAATTTGCCCATCATAGTAAAGATTGTTTATGATACTAAGTTTCTTGGAAAGGCTTGCAGATCGCTCAGGAATTTACGTGACTCAACAGTTGGCTCTCCTGGGTGTACCTGACTCTGAGGCCTCTGAGGCCCTCACCACGGAGGGTTTCTGGGCGGCCTCTGTGGCTGTCGTTGGTTTTTGGGTGAAGGTTCTGTCCTCTGACTTTGTTCTGCTCACATGTGTGTTCCTCAGGCAACCCCAAAGGAGCAATGATCACTCATCGAAACATAGTGAGCGACTCCTCGGCGTTTGTGAAAGTGACAGAGGTAAACTTTTGGGATGTTACCATCTTCCTTCGTGTTCATTGGTTGGCATTAGGCCTTGAGAATGAAAGTGGTAAAGGCCAGGAGAAATGACTCTGTTGTGTTTTTATCCCAGTGGGGGGAAAATAACTCCTTTAAGTTGGCAATGAAGCATTAGATGCTGCTGAAGGTTTTGAGTTATTATTACTTTTATGGTCGGTTTGACTTCCATTTTATCAGAAGGACTAAAGTCTCGAACTTCAGTTACAATCCAAGTGTCTTAGTCTGCATGGGCTGCCATAACAAAATAGCCCAGACTGAGCAGCTGAAACGGCAGAGTTCTGGACGCTAGAAGTCCATGATCAAGATGCCAGCAAATTCGGTTTCTGGTGAGGGCTCTCTCCCTGGCTTATAGACAGCCGTCTTCTTGCTCTCCTCTCATAGCATTTTCTCTTGTGCACAAGGAGGAGAGAGGTCTCTGGTTTCTCCTCTTTTCACAAGGACACAGGTCCTTTTGGATCAAGGGCCCCACCCTTATGACCTCATTCAACCTTAACTACCTCCCAATGGCCGTATCTCCAAATACGGTCATATTGGGTTAGGCTTTGGCCTATGAGTTTGGAGAGGCCACCATCAGTCCATAACACCAAGGGTCTATTTCAAACCTGCGCTTTAGTAAGTTGCTGTTGAACAGCGTGAGCCTCTCTCTCAGACCCTTGGCATGGTTTGCATAATTCACGCTCGGTCTCTGTGGGTTCTGTCTGTGGCAGGAGCCTGCGCCTCTTGGTTTGGGAGAATGGGCATCTTGCTGGTGTAGAAGGTCCATCTCACTGGCACTTAAACTCACACCCTGTTAGTCCCAACCCCCTCTCTTGGTGTGTACTTCCTACACCCTCACTGAGTCCACCCTCACTGCCTGACCAGAGCAGATCTTTCACTTTCTCACGGGCCTTCAAAAAAACTCCAAGCGCACTGTGGCTCGTGAGACAGACGGTTACAGAACTTTGTTTAAAACCCTGTATTCCTGTGGCATTCTCAGTGTCGTAAAATCCTCTGGCCACACTAATGCAGACGATGGGTTGCACTAAATCAGAAAATCAAAAATTGTAAATAGCATCGAGTCTGATTTCTTATCGTATAGCCGTTTCCCACAGGGAAGTATAGGTTTGGATGCAGGTCATCCTGGCATGAAAGTGATCTCAGGTCGGGCATGTCCAGGCTATCCCACATGCCCTGGGACTCCTGTGCCCACTCCGGACCGGCTAATGGCACGAGCACTCGGTGCAAACCCTCGCTGTGCCTGCCATGAGGGAGGAGCCGGGCATGGAAACCAGATGTCCCGACTCAGTCCAAACACAGACCTATTGCCCTCCGCGCATCCGGGGAAAGCAAATCCCTGGCGCCAGCCCAGAGCTGCATTGAACAAACTGGGATATATCTCACTGGTGAGGGGGGCTTTATGGTAAATCTGTCGATCAGACTAAAATACTCCAGATGCGCTAGTGCTGTAGATAAAAGGAGCCTGGAGCTCCAGTTTATCTTCCCTCCTCTCCCGCTTCCCCTGTACGGCATAACATGCTGTCTTCCATTGGACTGGGTCTCATATTTCCACAACATAGCACGCTGCCTATGTTGTGCCGGATCTTAGGTTTCTTACCGTTAGATGGGATTGAGCTTGCTGGGTCCTGGGGTACTGTAATTTTGAAATAATTAATGACTAGAGCACACGATCCCCTGCCATCCCAATTTGGACAAAATACTTCTTATTTTGGCTAAAATCCTGAGTGCATTCACTTTGTCATTAGAAATGACCTCCACCCAATCTGAGTGGCTAAGGTACTGCTTTGCACTTCACTCCTCAGTGAGAAGTAAGCGCAGACCGTAAGCCTGAGCCTTCCTCCTGAGCGTTGAGGGATCGTGTGCTCTAAGGGATGTGGGAAATGACTGGAATCTTAATGCCACTCTGCCTGCCGGTGTCTTTGCTTACAGAACTTTGTCAATCCCACTCCAGATGATACTCTCATCTCTTTCTTGCCTCTTGCCCATATGTTTGAAAGAGTTGTCGAGGTAAGGCACTGTGTTTTGTTTTCCTTGCTGGCTTGTTTGTTTGTATTCTAAGTCGTTGTGTTTTACAGAAGGCACTTGGCCTGAATGCCAGTGACACACACATTTCGTTCTTACCACTTGCACACATGTATGAGCAGCTCATGCAGGTAAGTTTGACCTCACACTGTCACCTGTGCGTAGCTCTTTGCCGAGCCCCGTTTTAAAAATGGTGCTAATTATTTAAAAGAGTATCTTTTTTTTTTTTTTTTTTTTCGGTCTGGCTACTTGAACTTGAATCATTCGTTTTAAAATTAGAAGCTCAGACTTTTGAAGGATATGAATGTGGACATGATTCCAGAAAGATGGGCTATAAAAGTAGAATTTTTATGAATACCATTCTGTAAAGGCCTCTGCTCTGTGAGAAGTCTCGGTGTTTTTGTTTTTTTTTTATTGTGCTTGTTCACAAATGCACAAGTTGGCTTAGGACTGATTTTTTTTTTCTTCTCACTAAAATTCTAAGTGACCTTGGGAAAGCAGGATGACCTTGACCTTTGCCTGCGCTCCCAGTACCCAACTGTGTGACTAGTTTAAAAACTGGCCAGGAGCCACCATTTTTCCTTCTTAGATAGTTCTGGATTGTATTCTGTTGTGTGTGTCTTTTTTAAAATGTTTATTAAAAAACCTTTATTATTGAAAGTATTACATATGTCTCCCTTTCCCCCATTGGCCCTCCCCACCCGCCCCCTCAGGATTGTATTAGAGGGGAAACGAGCAGCATTCCTTTACTTAGCAAGTCTTGATTAAGCAGACCCATGCGCCACACACTGTGAGGTGTTGGTGACAGTACCAAGGCTCCGCCCTTTGGAAATGCCCTATGGGATTTTCTCACCCCTGAGGACCAGGGATCTTAGCTCCCATCTTCCGGTCTTCCTTCCGCCTCCTGCACAGGAGAGCTGTGATCTTAGCACGTGAGGTCAAACGAGTTGATAATGGGCCGTGTGTACCGGAGGTAGTGTGAGAGGTGTGCCTGGGAGGCGGGACACAGGGACACAGTCTCTGAGCTTTCATTTTTAAGCAGTGAGCCCTGGTGTGCCTTTCTTGTGGTTTCTGCTTTCAGGCTTGAGCCATTTGACCTTCAATTGCGTCATTTTATAAATTTTACTTACTTTTTTAATTAATCCTCACCTGAGAACATGTTTATTTTTTAAAAGAATATATTTTATTAATTTTTTACAGAGAGGAAAGGAAAGGCATAGAGAGTTAGAAACATCAATGAGAGAGAACCGTCGATCAGCTGCCTCCTGCACACCCCCTATTGGGGATGTGCCCGCAACCAAGGTACATGCCCCTGACCGGAATCAAACCCGGGACCTTTCAGTCCGCAGGCCGACTCTATCCACTGAGCCAAACTGGTTTCAGCGAGAACATGTTTATTGATTTTTTTTTTTTTAAGAGAGATAGGAAGGGGTGGGGAAAGATAGAGAAACATCGATTGGTTGCCTCCTGTACATGCTCTGATGATGGGATGAAGTTCTAACCAACTGGGCCACCTGGCCGGGCTGTTGCATCATCTTTTTCTTTTTAAAATTTGAAAGAGGCAGACTGCTTGCCAAGTGCATGTGGCTTGCCAGTACAGTTTGCATCCAATAGGAAAATACTCATGCAATAGGTTGTAGCTGAATGACAAGCCATACTGGTGTGAGATATTCTAGTGTCTCAACTGCAACATATTCAGTAGCTTTTTAGAGATTTTTTAGTTATCCTCCTATATAATAAAAGGCTAATATGCAAATCCACTGAATGATAGAAAGACTGGTTGCTATGATCCACACTGACCACCAGGGGGCAGATGCTTAGTGCAGGAGCTGCCCCCTGGTGATCAGTGCGCCCCCACAGGGGGAGTGCTGCTCAGCCAGAAGCCAGGCTCATGGCTGGTGAGCGCAGTGATGGTGGTAGGAGCCTGCCCTGCCAATATGGCAGCGCTAAGGAGCCCTCAGGAGATGTCCGGAGTGGGCTTAAGTGACAGGCGGACATCCCCCAAGAGGTACTGGACTGCGAGAGGGTGCAGGCCCAGCTGAGGGACAACCTCCCACCCCCAGTGCATGAATGTCATGCACCGGGCCTCTGGTCCTCTCTTAGAAAGAAGGAATATGCTAATTGACCCACACGCCGTCGCAAAGATGATGGCACCCACAGCCAATAAGGAGGGAATATGCTAATTGACTGTCATGCCCTCAAAGATGGTGGCGTCCAGTCACCTCAGTTCCACTGGGTCAGCAGGCACACGGCAAAGCCAGACCAGTCCTCAGTGGGCCCGGAAGTTCTATGTACCTGCCTCCGGAGTCCCCCCAGTCCCCTCAGCCCTCAGCCGCCTAGGGCCGGCTCGAAGCACAGGCAAGCCTTGGATGGTGGCTGCCCAGCTGCCCAGGGCCAGCCTGAGGCTCAGGTAATCAGGGCTGGCCGAGGCTTGCGCTGCCGGCAATGGCAGCAGCAGAGGTGTGATGGTGGCATCACCTTCTCCTGATCGCCAGGTCACCTTCTGTCCTTGAGGGCTTCCAGATTGTGAGAGGAGGCAGGCCGGGCTGAGGGACCCCCCTACCTCCAGTGCATGAATTTTCATGCACCGGGCCCTAGTATTCAAATTTTTAAAAAATGAGACTCTGATAAGATTAGACTATAGGAAAGTAGCCAAGTTTTTGTTTTAAGAATAAGACGGAAAGTGCCTGGAAGACTAAAAGCACTTGGATTAATACCAAGTCATTCAGTTAACATAGCAGAACCTCTATGATCCTCAGCAAACCAACATACCCTGGTTTCTGTTAGTTCCAAGAAAGGCTCAATTTCCATGTTGTACAGTCACCGAAGAATGCAAGAACTGATTTTAAAAAGCTGCCCTAAATGTAGATTTCTGGAAACTGCCCTGAAATGCTACAACCATGTGTGTGTCTGTGTGTCTGTGTATGTGTGTGTGTGTTTGTGTGTGTGTGTGTGTGTGTGTGTGTTTGTGTGTGTGTGCACAGGCACACAACCCCCCACTGGGGTGCTGCAGTGTGGTCACGTGTGCTTCCCCCTCCAGTGTGTGATGCTGTGCCACGGGGCGAAGATAGGATTTTTCCAAGGAGATATCAGGCTGCTTATGGATGACCTCAAAGTGCTTCAACCCACCATCTTCCCCGTGGTCCCGCGGCTGCTGAACCGGATGTTCGACAGAGTAAGTTCCAAGCACAGAGCAGAGGCCGAGGGCTGACCCCGTCTCGGGCTTGAGTCAGGCTAGGCCAGGCCTCTCTGTGTGACGGTGAATTTACTCATCTGTAAGACCAGAATACATTTACCTCACAGAGCTGTTTTTAAGGAGAAAGTACACGTGAACACACTTATAAACATGAGGGCAAATGCGGTGTAGGCGGGAGGTCATTTTACTTCCATAATTAACTCTTGGAGCCTCTGTTTTCTCACCTGTACAGTGGACTGTCGCCTCCTCCACCTGCTGTCTGTCTCACAAAGTTGCTTTCTGTATCACATGAACACAGTGACTGTGAAACGGTTTTATAAGTTGGAAAGCTCCATGCGCATGTAATATACTACTACGCCCCCTTGAGAGGAGTGACTGAGCCAAACGAGGGGTGGAGAAAGCCAGCCCCCTGCAGGGCCCTTACCGCGTGGAGCACACGGCCAGGGCAGGGTCAGCAGGTGGCGGTCCGTCTCCACAGTGCGGTGTTTGGACTGGGCAATGTCATGCTCTTCATTTTGAGGCATGGCTCCTGCCATCTATGAGAACCTGCTCCCTTTTTAATGGTTTTTCTAGAAAAAAGAAAAAAAAACTTTTAAAAACAGCTCTATACAATTTATCCACTTAAGGTGTATAGTGCCTTCACAGAGTTCTCTGACCATCCCACACTCCCCCTCAAAAAAAAAAACAACCCTTTCCCTACCCTTGAACTATCATCCTCCATCCTGCTACCTGCCTTTACCCCTGAACAAAAAATAATCTGCTTTTTGAATCTATAGATTTGCCTATTTCTGGACTTGGATATGACTGGACTCATGCGATGTGTGTTCTTTTGTAACTGGCATCTTTCACTTAACGTGTTTTCAGGGTTCTTCCAGGTTGTAGGGTGTATCTGTTCTGCATTCCTTTTAACAGCCAAATAACATTCCGCTGTATGGATGCAACACATTGCATTTGTCCATCCATCCATGGATGGGCATGTGTGTGGATCCCACTTCTTGGCTGTTATGAATAGGGCTGCCACGGACAGCTTTCTGTGGCAGGTGTTTCCATCGCCCCTGGGCGGCTACCTCGGAGCGGGATTGCTGGGTCCTGTAGCGCTCCGTGGACCTGTTTGAGGAGCAGTTTTCGAAAGCTGCACCATGTTCCATTTCCACACAGGGCCTGGGGCCAGTGTCCTCACACCCTCACCAGCACTTGTTCTCTGACTTCCCGCTTCTCGGAGTTGTGACACCTCCTTCTCTCCTGACTCCTTAGATCTTCGGGCAGGCGAACACCACGCTGAAGCGCTGGCTCCTGGACTTCGCCTCCAAGAGGAAAGAAGCGGAGCTGCGCAGCGGCATCATCAGAAACAACAGCGTGTGGGACAAGCTGATCTTCCGCAAAATACAGGTGGCCGGCGATTCCTGACACCGTCTGGCTGACTGGGCCTCGGGTTGTCTGTGAGGGCTCTTTCTGAAAGAGAGGTGTGACGCCAAGAGGGACAAGGATGCTTTGTTATCAATTCTGGCACGTGGCTAACAATTACAAAAAGCTCAGGATCCAAGATAGATCAGTAGGATTGTAGCTGTGAGCATGGGGAAAGGAACCGGCATATTGTAGCCTGCCTTGTTCTCCATTTGGGTTTACTTTTCTGGAACAAGTATGTCACTCTTAAGGTAACTTTTAGGCACGAGTGACAATAAGTCATGTCCAAAAAAATAACAAAAATGTGGGTGTTGCCACAGATCCATCACATTCTTGTTCCAGTCCCTTAAGATGCCAGCAGGAGGGGGTGTCCACGTCCTCCCATCCCATTTGAGAGCAAATGGTACACCGTGTGGGGTGGAAAAACACTCCGCATCAGCAAGCTCTGAGGCCCACAGAGAGCTGGGGGCTCGGGGACGGGGTGCCGTAGAAGTGTCTTTGAGGAGCTCGCCGACTCGCAGCCCTTTAACCCTCTCTCTCTCTGCCTGTCTTTGAAGTCGAACCTGGGAGGGAAGGTGCGGCTGATGATCACAGGGGCCGCGCCCGTGTCTGCCACGGTGCTGACGTTCCTGCGAGCCGCGCTCGGCTGTCAGGTGAGCGGCTCCAAGCAGCCCGCGCTCTCAGACCTCGTCCTGCCTGGGGGTATTCTTTCCAGAGTCAGTTCACGTTCTCCCGTGGGTGCCTTCTTTTTAAAAATAAATAAATAAATAAATAAATAAATAAATAATATATATATATATATATATATATATATATATATATATTGATTTCCGTGAGGAAGGAAGAGGCAGAGAGATGGAAGCATCAACAATGAGAGAGAATTCTTGATCAGCTGCCTCCTGCACACTCCCCACGGGGATCGAACCCACAACCCCAGCATGTGCCCTGACCGGGAACTGAACCGTGACCTCCTGGTTGCTTAGAGAATGAAGTGGGTATGTTTGGCCCGGGCAGGGGACGTGCCCTTGTGTGCACACTGTGGCGCTGTCTGGGGGTCAGGCGGGGGGAGGGGGGGGGTAAGGGAGAGCCACTCGCACATTAGGCAGAGCCTGTGTTTGGGGGCGGGAGGACAGCAGAGGCCGGCTGACACACAGGATGTGGGGAGGGGGGCGGCCTGAGCTGGTGAACGTCAGGGTCCTCCCTCCCCTTCCGCGGTCACAAAGCAGAAAATGAACGTGGATGGGGCTGGCTCTGGCGTGAGGGTGGAGACATGTGGACGCTGTAAGAAAGCATGTCGTCGTATCCAATGAATTCACCAAACAGGAAATGCCAAGAGGTTTCACCCCGGGGGCCGTTCTCGGGAGGGGTCAGGGGAACTTAATTTCTGTGCTCGTCCGGCCAAGGCGCCCCCTTCTAACCCCGTGTCCTCTCCGTGACCCAGTTCTACGAAGGCTACGGGCAGACAGAGTGCACGGCCGGCTGCTCCCTGTCCATCCCGGGAGACTGGACGGCAGGTAGGTGACGGGCGGGCCGGGCCTTGCCCACACCCTGCTGTTCGGAGCGGGATCGAGTTCATCACTCATTGTTCTTCCCCCTCCTTCCCCACGTGCCTCCTACCCCAAATGCTGCGTCTCAGGGCGCCAGAGCTGGGCGGCAAGCGGGGAGACTCACCCAGATCCGGAAGGCAAACGGGTTCAGACCGCCAGAGCTTGCCAGGAACCGACTGGTGGCGGGTTAAATGGGCCGCGTGTGCTGTGCCGGGGGTGAGGCTGCAGAGAGAGGCGCAGGCCTTGTTCCCAGAGGGACAGGTGGAGGCACACACACACACAGCGGGCTCGGCCCCGGACCTGGATGCGGGTCTTCGTTGGGGCTGAGATGTACATGGCGTTTATCTCATCCCAGCCACATCCCTGTGGGATGCATCCTGCTCGCTCAGGAACAACGGGTTGTGGGTTAAAAGCACGTCAATGACGGGTAAGAGCTGGCACTACAGGTTCCCGCCCAGCCTGGCCACCCCCTCCCTGCGCCCCTGCCTGCCCGGTGCGCTCTGCACTGCATGAGCCAGGCCCTGGCCTGTGGGTGTTACCACGGGGGCACCAGGTACGGCAGGGACTCAGCGTCCAGCGTGACCCAGGAGCACAATCTGCTCGGTGGGCACCGGGGCTGTGACCTTCTCCATGGCGTTCGGCGACCCCTGGTGCCCTGCGGCTGCTGACTTTGGAGTAGGGGTCTCTGTGAGCTGGAATTATTCATGTGTCGGGAGAGTCACTCGCGGTGCTTGTGCACATATCTAGTTCTGTCACTTCCGTGTGGGGTAAAGACCCACCCACCCACCAGCCTCTGGCAAAGCAGTTCGGTTCCCCGTAAAGAGAAGCATCGTCCTGTCTCCCTAAACTTCCACATACAGCCTGGCCCTCCACACTCAGGAAATGGGGGTCCGGAACCGGGCAAGGGAACGGGGCTGGCGGAGGCAGCAGGGGGCGGCGGTGAGAGAAGAACCACGGCCGGCCCAGCCCCCTGGGTACCGTTGGCACAGAGAGCTGGCAGGGGCCTCGGGCCAGAGGGGCCGGGGAGTGGGCGTGGACAGCTCGCCTCCAGGAGTCCTGCGGAACCTGAGGATCAGCACCCACATCGCTGGCACTTGGACAGAGTTCAGAGTCACACCTGGGACAGGCCCCCGGAGACGTGGGCGTTCCCAGTGGCCCCTCTGTCGGGGGTGACTGCCTAAATGAGCCTGTCAGGAGAGTCCGGCTGCAATGCCGGGAGCGGGGTACGTGCCCGCCGGTCTTGGGAGCAGCCTGTGTCCCACGTGGTTTGGCCCAAGGACACTGCAGCCCAGGACTAACCATCCTCTCTGCACACAGGCCACGTCGGCGCCCCCATGCCTTGCAACCTGATAAAGCTCGTGGACGTGGAGGAGATGAACTACCTGGCTGCCAAGGGCGAGGGCGAGGTGAGCCAGGGCCCATGTCCCTCCCCGTCCTTGCCATTTCCGGTAAAGCCGGTGTGACCAGTGCAGTGCCCCTGCCTGGCGCCGTGTCACCGGGGCCTCTGAGCCCCTGAGCGTGGTCCCCCTGATGGTCCTGGGCCAGACTGGCTTCTTTCTGAAAGCCCACTTACGGTTAGCTCCCGGGGTGGCGGGAGGGGACTCTAATGCCTCCTCTGCCAGGCATGCTGGGGACGGGGCCCAAGGGCTCGCAAAGGCCCGTGGCCTGAGTCCTGGCACAGCTCCTGTCAGTGCCCTGGACGCCTGCCTGTGGGAGCGCTGCCGCTGGGCTGGGGGGCTGGGGGTGGGGGGCTGGTTGCTCCAGAGGGATCTCGTCCCCTCGGGCACTCTCCAGCAGCTCTGAGTGGACTGAGGCTCCTAGACAGGGAAGGGGGGCCCTGGAGGCGCCCCCAGCACCCTGGGGTCCTGGAATCCAGGGCTTCTTGCTAAAGGTCAGGGCATGCGTGTGTGCGCGCACACACACACACACACACACATGCACACACACGCACACGCCACAGTTCTCTCTGGAGAAGCCCCTGTGGATGCCGCTGACGGGCCACCTCCCCGGGTGTTGAGTGTGGCTGACACGGGCGGGCGGGTCTGCCATGCACAGAGGCACCAGGCCCTAAGGCAACGTCTCCTCCTTGGCCAGGGCTCCTGGGCCTCCGCTCTGAGCACCTTCCACACACCTCCAGGGGGCGCTGTGGTGCCTGCACTGCTCCTCTCACCCCGAGTGTGTCCCTCCTGACCCCTCCGTCTCCCGCCCACCCCGTCCTCCCCTCAGGTGTGCGTGAAGGGGCCCAACGTCTTCCAAGGCTACCTGAAGGACCCGGCCAAGACGGCCGAAGCGCTGGACAAGGACGGCTGGCTGCACACGGGGGACATCGGGAAGTGGCTGCCGGTGAGCGGTCGGTCGCAGGCACCTGCCACGCGCCAGGGCCCCCGGCTCTCCCTTCCCTTTGTCCCGGGGTGGAGCAGGCTGGCCCTTAGCAGGTGCAGGACCTCACGGGAACCGGGCGGGCAGGTTCACCTCGGTGTGTGCCACCGTTTCCGGCTGCTTCCTGGTTGCCATGCAGAGAGCCCGTGGCTTTCCGTGTCAGCCTGTGCCTGGCGGTGGGCTGTCCGTGAGCAGGTGTCCGTGGCTGACCGCCAGGAAGGAGGGCAGGATCTGAACGCCTGGGTTCTCGGGTTCATCCTCTTAAAGGGGACAGGCATCTCACAGCTCAGCCCGCCTCCCCTCCTCGGTGTCAGAGCCGTTTACCGCAGAGAACTCCCAGGCGCCACTGAGGCCTGGGAGGCTCGGCAGACGCAGGTTTGGCCAGTTTTGCTGCTGCAGGAGCAGCCGCTGCTTCTGAACGGCGTTGGCAGTGTTTAACTGCAATCGCTGAAATCGCTAATGTAATTCTTATGGTGTATTGTTTGATTCTTACAGATCCAAGGTGCTTAACACTGTGACATTTGTATTGATTTGAAAAAGGCCTCCCTAATTAATTCGGATTTCAGATACCCACGCTCTTTAGGAGCAAATTAAGTCCCTCTTCCCCAGCTCAAGAGGGACTAAGCATCGGTTCTCAACCTGGCGCAGCTCCAGCTCCGAACCTCTGCGCCCTGGAGGCTCCTGTTGAAAGCAGCAGAGGAGGAGGAGGAGGAGGAGGAGGAGGAGGAGGAGTGGGAGGAGGAGCAGGGGGAGGGTGAGGGGTGAGAGCCTGGAAGTTTCCAGCAGGCCTTTCGGAAGCGGCAGTGGCCCCAGTGGGGATGGGTGGAAGTCGGGGCACTGCTGGCATCTGGCTGGCCTGGCCAGAGCGTCCAGGTGCCACGGTGGTAGGTGGGCAGGTGACCGCTCCCGAGGGCCTGAGCCCTGGTTCTGGGACAAACCCGTCGTGTAGGAAGCATTACTGAGTCCTTGCTCTGGGGGAGGGTAAGTCTGGTCTCCGCTCTGGGAGCTGAGCTGGGGGGGAGCCAGCTGTGTGTCCCTGGCTCAGTAAGAGGCCACACCGACAGCAGCCCCCTGTGGGAGAGCGTGGGCTCCCCGGATCGCCCCTCTCCCCCGCTTGGCTCAGTGCCTTGGGCAAGTCCTCAGTCTCTCTGAGCCTCAGTTTCCCCTCTAAAATGAGACGGTAACCGACCCTGCGGGGTGTGAGCGGCCGTAGAGCCCCTGTGCACTGTGAGGCCTGTGCGGTGTGTGACTCTGTGCAGTGTGTGACTCTGTGCAGTGTGTGACCCTGTGCGGAGTGTGACCCTGTGCGGTGTGTGACCCTGTGCGGAGTGTGTGTGACCCTGTGCGGAGTGTGACCCTGTGCGGTGTGTGTGTGACCCTGTGCGGAGTGTGACCCTGTGCGGAGTGTGACCCTGTGCGGAGTGTGACCCTGTGCGTTGTGTGAGTCTGTGCGGAGTGTGACCCTATGCGGTGTGAGACCCTGTGCGGAGTGTGACCCTGTGCGGAGTGTGACCCTGTGCGGAGTGTGACCCTGTGCGGAGTGTGACCCTGTGCGGTGTGTGACCCTGTGCGGTGTGTGTCCCTGTGCGTTGTGTGAGTCTGTGCGGTGTGTGTGTGACCCTGTGCGGAGTGTGACCCTATGCGGTGTGAGACCCTGTGCGGAGTGTGACCCTGTGCGGAGTGTGACCCTGTGCGGAGTGTGTGTGTCCCTGTGCGGAGTGTGTGTGACCCTGTGCGGAGTGTGACCCTGTGCGGAGTGTGACCCTGTGCGGAGTGTGACCCTGTGCGGAGTGTGTGTGACCCTGTGCGGTGTGTGTGACCCTGTGCGGAGTGTGACCCTGTGCGGAGTGTGACCCTGTGCGGAGTGTGACCCTGTGCGGAGTGTGTGTGACCCTGTGTGGAGTGTGACCCTGTGCGGAGTGTGTGTGACCCTGTGCGGTGTGTGTGACCCTGTGCGGAGTGTGTGTGACCCTGTGCGGTGTGTGACCCTGTGCGGAGTGTGACCCTGTGCGGAGTGTGTGTGACCCTGTGTGGAGTGTGACCCTGTGCGGAGTGTGTGTGACCCTGTGCGGTGTGTGTCCCTGTGCGTTGTGTGAGTCTGTGCGGAGTGTGACCCTATGCGGTGTGAGACCCTGTGCGGAGTGTGACCCTGTGCGGAGTGTGACCCTGTGCGGAGTGTGACCCTGTGCGGAGTGTGTGTGTCCCTGTGCGGAGTGTGTGTGACCCTGTGCGGAGTGTGACCCTGTGCGGAGTGTGTGTGTCCCTGTGCGGAGTGTGACCCTGTGCGGAGTGTGTGTGTCCCTGTGCGGTGTGTGTGTGACCCTGTGCGGAGTGTGTGTGACCCTGTGCGGAGTGTGACCCTGTGCGGAGTGTGTGTGTCCCTGTGCGGAGTGTGACCCTGTGCGGAGTGTGACCCTGTGCGGAGTGTGTGTGTCCCTGTGCGGTGTGTGTGTGACCCTGTGCGGAGTGTGTGTGACCCTGTGCGGAGTGTGACCCTGTGCGGAGTGTGTGTGTCCCTGTGCGGAGTGTGACCCTGTGCGGAGTGTGACCCTGTGCGGAGTGTGACCCTGTGCGGAGTGTGACCCTGTGCGGTGTGTGTGTGACCCTGTGCGGAGTGTGTGTGACCCTGTGCGGAGTGTGTGTGACCCTGTGCGGAGTGTGACCCTGTGCGGAGTGTGACCCTGTGCGGAGTGTGTGTGACCCTGTGCGGAGTGTGTGTGACCCTGTGCGGAGTGTGACCCTGTGCGGAGTGTGTGTGACCCTGTGCGGTGTGTGACCCTGTGCGGAGTGTGACCCTGTGCGGAGTGTGACCCTGTGCGGTGTGTGACCCTGTGCGGAGTGTGTGTGACCCTGTGCGGAGTGTGACCCTGTGCGGAGTGTGACCCTGTGCGGAGTGTGACCCTGTGCGGAGTGTGACCCTGTGCGGAGTGTGTGTGTCCCTGTGCGCAGTGTGACCCTGTGCGGTGTGTGTGTGACCCTGTGCGGAGTGTGACCCTGTGCGGAGTGTGACCCTGTGCGGAGTGTGACCCTGTGCGGAGTGTGACCCTGTGCGGAGTGTGTGTGTCCCTGTGCGCAGTGTGACCCTGTGCGGTGTGTGTGTGACCCTGTGTGGTGTGTGACCCTGTGCGGAGTGTGACCCTGTGCGGAGTGTGACCCTGTGTGGTGTGTGACCCTGTGCGGTGTGTGACCCTGTGTGGTGTGTGACCCTGTGCGGAGTGTGTGTGACCCTGTGTGGTGTGTGACCCTGTGTGGTGTGTGACCCTGTGCGGAGTGTGACCCTGTGCGGTGTGTGTCCCTGTGCGGAGTGTGACCCTGGCCGGGGCAGCTGGCCCTCACACCTCCTCTCTGTGGACAGAACGGGGCCCTGAAGATCATCGACAGGAAGAAGCACATATTCAAGCTGGCGCAGGGGGAGTACATCGCGCCCGAGAAGATCGAGAACATCTACCTGCGCAGCGAGCCGGTGGCCCAGGTGTTCGTGCACGGGGAGAGCCTGCAGGTGGGTGCCGAGCCCGGCCCGGGCCGAGGGCGACGGGCACGGCTCCCTCACTGACTGTCAGTGTGCGGGGCCTGCGAGCTGGGCCGGGGCCGGGCCGGCAGTCACCGCCCGTCTGTGTTACAGGCCTTCCTCGTGGCCATCGTGGTGCCCGACGCCGAGACGCTGGGTCGCTGGGCGGGGAAGCGGGGCCTGTCTGGGTCCTTCGAGGAGCTGTGCCGCAGCAAGGTGAGGCAGGGCGCGGCTGAGGGCCCAGTGCGGGGGCTGAGGGCCCGGTGCGGGGGCTGAGGGCCCGGTGAGGCCGGGCGCGGGCTGAGGGCCCGGTGCGGGGGCTGAGGGCCCGGTGAGGCAGGGCGCGGGCCGAGGGCCCGGTGCGGGGGCTGAGGGCCCGGTGAGGGGGCTGAGGGCCCGGTGAGGGGGCTGAGGGTCCGGAATGGGGGACTGAGGGCCTGGTGAGGGGGCTGAGGGCCCGGTGAGGGGGCTGAGGGCCCGGTGAGGGGGCTGAGGGCCCGGTGAGGGGGCTGAGGGTCCGGTGAGGGGGCTGAGGGCCTGGTGAGGGGGGCTGAGGGCCCGGTGAGGGGGGCTGAGGGCCCGGTGAGGGGGCTGAGGGCCCGGGAAAGGGGGGCTGAGGGCCCGGGAAGGGGGGGCTGAGGGCCCGGTGAGGGGGGCTGAGGGCCTGGTAAGGGGGCGGGGGGCTGAGGGCCCGGTGAGGGGGGCTGAGGGCCCGGTGAGGGGGCTGAGGGCCCGGTGAGGGGGGCTGAGGGCCCGGGAAGGGGGGGCTGAGGGCCCGGTGAGGGGGGCTGAGGGCCTGGTAAGGGGGCGGGGGGCTGAGGGCCCGGTGAGGGGGGCTGAGGGCCCGGTGAGGGGGCTGAGGGCCCGGTGAGGGGGCTGAGGGCCCGGTGAGGGGGCTGAGGGCCCGGTGAGGGGGGCTGAGGGCCCGGGAAAGGGGGGCTGAGGGCCCGGGAAGGGGGGGCTGAGGGCCCGGTGAGGGGGGCTGAGGGCCTGGTAAGGGGGCGGGGGGCTGAGGGCCCGGTGAGGGGGGCTGAGAGTCCGGAAGGGGGGGCTGAAGGCCCAGTGAGGGGGGCTGAGGGCCCGGAAAGGGGGGGCTGAGGGCCTGGTAAGGCGGGGAGGGCTGAGGGCCCGGTACAGGCGTGGGGCCTCATCCTCTGTCTCCTCAGGAGGTCAGGAAGGCCATCTTGGAGGACCTGGTGCGGCTGGGGAAGGAGTCCGGCCTGAAAACATTCGAGCAGGTGAGGCTTCCCGGGAGGTGCCTCCGCTCTTAACACACAGGGGGAGGGGGGGCCCTGGCGGCGGGTTGGGGAGGGCTCTCTCACAGAGGGCCAATTCTCTTCCTGGAGCTCAGGGAACAGTCCTGACCTCTTTCCTCTTCCCTTGGGGAGAGGTTGGGGGCCAGAGGCGAGAGGGGGGCTGGGACTAGCATCGGGGCCTGACCCCCTGGAGGCTCAGGTGCTTGTGGGCCTGGGGTCCCCCGGCCCCTCCTCCCCTAACCAACGTCCTTGCTGATCGGCAGGTCAAAGGCATCGCGCTGCACCCCGAACTGTTCTCCATCGAGAACGGCCTCCTGACCCCCACGATGAAGGCGAAGAGGCCGGAGCTCCGGAACTACTTCCGGCCGCAGATAGACGAACTCTATTCCACCATCAAGGCCTAGGAGGAGGAGCGCCGGGCAGAAGCCACACCTCCGCCGGCCTCTCCCGGTGGCCCTCACGGGGGCGATCGGACTGCAGAGCGTAGGGGGCGCCGTGTGACGTGTGCGCTGGGTCTTGTCCTAGGAAATTAGAGGTCAGCGGGCGTGGCAGGCCGTGCACCCGCGTGGGGACACGCCACCTCCAAAACGAGCCTTAACCGTCGTCCAGGGGGACGTTCCGGGGGCTGGGTTCCTCGCGGCTGCCCCGGGGCAGAAGGCCACAGGTCTGTCTCCCCGCGTGTCTAACCGAGGGGCAGGCCTTGCTCTCCCTGACCGTCTGCTGCTTGCTGCCCGCCCCGCGGCGCCCGAAGGAACTGCCCCCACGAACAGCCGTCGGCCGGAGACTGTCACACGTGGACCAGAGATTGTGTGATCCCTGTCCCCTTCCCCGTCCACACACACACACACACACACACACACACACACGCTCTCGCCCCTCGGATGGAGGCTTCCGGAGCACCTGCTCTTCCTCCCCGCTCCGTCGTGCCCGTCGGCGTGGACGAGGAGTCTCGGGCGCCCACGGGGCGGGAGCAGGGTGCTCCCCCCTCCGTCCCCGGGGCCGTGAGAAAAGCTGCCTTACCCTCCACAGTGAGGACAAGCATTTCAAGAAGGAAAGACTTACCCGGCAAGACCACGCTCAACTGTGACCCTCAGCACCCGTCCGCTCGTCCCCACGGGCACCCCCGTGTGTGCGGCCCGCGGGCCGGTGCGGCTCCCGTGTCGGACGTGCACGTGGGATTCCCCGGCTCCTCCCCGGAGCGAGCTCAGGCGAGGCGTGTCCCGGAGGCCGAAGGGAGTGGACAGACGTGGGCGCGGATGGAAACGGACGGCAGCGAACGCGCTCTCCTCCAGCCCGCGGCCCGGCTCCCGGGAGATGCTCCGGCCAGACCCTCGGGCGGAAGGCGGACCCTGGCTTCCCGGGAGCCACGGCCCCGGGCCTTCTTCACGTTCGTTTGGGAAACGAGCGGCGTTTCACCTGCCCTGCCGCAGGCCGTGGCCCCAGGCGCCCCGCGTCGGCTGTCCGGCCCTCCCGTCCCCGCCGTGTGACACTCTCCGTAGCCAGCCCGAGTGTGTGTTCCTCACCGCACAAGCGTCAGTCACTCGTCACCTGGGGTTTGGAATGTTTGCTTTAAGTGTTGGCTATTTCTATGTTTTATAAACCAAAACAGAATTTCCAAAAACAATGAAGGAAACCAAAATAAATATTTCTGCATTTCACGGGAGTGGCGCGTCTGTTCTCAGGTCCGGAGTGACATTGGGGCAGCAGGCGTGGCCCTGGGCCTCTAGGGACGCTGCCTCCCCCACCTCCTCCTCCTCAGCACCCCTCTCCTCCTCCCGCCCCCTCCTCCCGCCTCCCCTAATGCGTCCCGCACAGCTCACTGCAGGCCTGCGGGGTGTGGAGGAGCAGCCTTGGCGGGAATAAGAAGCATCGCCTTGGAGATGCCCTCTTTGCTGGAAAGCCCCTCGGGAGGTGCCGCTGGAGGGTGGTTCCGGGCCGTGCTGGGCCGGACTCCGCTGCGTTCAGTCAGCCCGCCTGTTCTCTCCCCAGCCTAGCTCTGGTTTCAGAGCAGCAGCCTGGCCTGTGTCCTTCCTCTATCCCTGTCCCACCCACACTTGTCCTTGGTGTGAATTAATCAACCCTCAATTTCTCTTTAAAACTTTTCTGTTTTGCTTGCTTTTTTTTTTTTTTTAATTGATTTCAGAGAGGACGGGAGAGGGAGAGAGAGAGATAGAAACACCAATGATGAGAGAATCATTGATCGGCTGCTTCATGCACTCCCCCGACTGGGGATGGAGCCCACATCCTGGGGATCGAGCCACTGACCCCACTGAGCCACACCACCAGGCTGCCCTCGATTTCTTAGCCTGTAGTGTATAAACCAGTCTCCCCCTTGGAATTTAATATACATATACACACACACACACACACACTTTATTGATTTTTTACAGAGAGAAAGATAGAGGGATAGAGTTAGAAATATCAATGAGAGAGAATCATTGATCAGCTGCCTCCTGCACACTCCCCACTGGGGATGTGCCGGCAACCAAGGTACATGCCCTTGACCGGAATCGAACCAGGGACCTTTCAGTCCGCAGGCTGACGCTCTATCCACTGAGCCAAACCGGTCTCTGCTCCCCTTGGAATTTCTTAGCGTGTTGGGTGTAAGCCAGCCTCCCCTGGGCCCATCCACCTGGGTTTGGTGTGATGTTCGGCTTCGTCCTCTGAAGCGCGGGAGCTCCTCGTCCCTCCGCCCTTTTCTCTCTGTGCCAACACCCTCCTCTTGTCTGCTCTCCCCTCCTCTCCCCCTCTCCCCGGTGCCTTTCCTCTCCCCTCTCACACCAACACAGCACTTGGAAACGACCAGGTGTTCATTAAACAAGTCTTGTTTGAACAAAAACCTGAATTTTTTAAGCAAAATCTCTCTGTGTAATGAAGCTGATATAAACATTTTTTTTTTCATTTAAAAAACATACAGTAAAATGCACATAATACTTAGCCCTGAATCATTTTAAGAGGCATGAAGTGTGTTCACACCGTGGTGCAGCCAGCAGGGCGGTCCGTCCATCCCCAGCGCTCCCTCCCTTCGCCTTGCAGGACTGGAACCTCCTTCCTCCTCCCTCTTTCTCTCTCCCCCCCTTCCCTCCCCCCAGGCAGCCACGGGCTACTCTGCCTCCAAGACTCTGGCTTCTTTCAAACAGGGTCGTTCAGCCTGTGTCCGTCAGTGACCTCCGTGACCGGCTTCCCGCCCTCAGCACAGCGTCCCCAGGCTCCCCTGTTCTGTGGGAGGTGCCAGCATTTCCTGGTAGGAGGCTGAGTGACATTCCACTGTGTGTACATCTCGTCTTGTCAATCCATTCATCGTTGGTGGACGCTCGTGGTTCCCGCCTTCTGGGTATTGTGACAGGCACTGCTGTGAGCGTGGCTGTGCCCATGCCATCTCAGCCCCTGCTCCCATTTCTTCGGGGATCCGTCCAGAAACAGGATCATCGGGTCAGGCCATGATTCTGTGTGGACTCTTTCTGAGGAACTGCCGTACCGTCTTCCACATTTCACATCGGCAGTGCGCTAGGGTTCCAGTGTCCACAGCCTCACTTACCCTTGTTGGTTTCTGCGCTTTGTTGTTTTCAGATACATACAGCGGCCGTCCTAACAGGCGCACAGTGGGGTCTCATTGTGGTTTCGATGCATTTTCTTGGTGACGCTGAAGTTGAGGGTCCGTTCTGTGCTCATGGCCCGTCTGTGTGTCCTCTCTGGAGAAAGCCTAAGTCCTTTGCCCATTTTAAGAATTGGGTTGTTTGTTTGTTATTGAGCTGTAGGAGTTCTTTAAATATTATGAGGATTAATCCCTAAAATACTTCCCAATTCTTTTTTTTTTTTTTAACACTTTTTTCTTGATTTCAGAGAGGGAGAGAGAGAGAGAGAGAAACACCAATGATAAGAGAGATCATTGATTGGCTGCCTCCTGCATGCCCTACACTGGGATCGAGCTCACAACCTGGGCATGTGCCCTGACCCAGAATCAAACCCTGACCTTCTGGTTCACAGATCAATGCTCAACTACTGAGCCACACCGGCTGGGCCCTTCCAGGTTCTTAACTTGCATGGTGCACTGTTGGGGCAGTGCCTGCTCCCCTACAGCGCCATGATGGTCCTCCACCAACCCCCACCCCCCAAATCAAAACTGCGTCCCCAAAGCCCGTGGTCTCTGTCTCGGACCTTCTCTCCAGCAAGGACAGGAGGAGGAAAGAGGCCCCTTGTGTGCTGAGGTCCTTTGAGGAACTGCCTCAGCGGCGTGGGCTCAGCCTGAGCCCAGAGGCCCAGGAGGGAAGTGCTGATGGAGCCAAGGTCGCCCTGCTGTCTTGAGCTCATCCCTGCAGCCCAGCCACGACACATCCTCACATTCTCGGCTCCAAAATACGGCTGGTTTTTGAGTATATTTGGCATTGGGTAGTCACATATTTTAGTCTCACTCTGTTACCAGATTCCTCGGAATAGGACCCAGAAGTAAGAAGTGTAGAGGTTGCTGCACCAGGCACCATGCTTACATCTTACACAGATGTCTCATGTCGTGTTACAACCCTCCGAGCCAGATGCGACCACTGTCCCATCTCACAGACGAGGTCATTGAGGCACAACAGGGAAATGTTCAGAAAAGAGGGGAGGCTGCCCTGGGACGGGGAGAGAGCACAGAGATGGGCCGATAGGGACCCCTCCCGTCACAATGTGTGTGTGTGTGTGTGTGTGTGTGTGTGTGTGTGTGTGTGTAGGTTGGGGGGGGGAGAATGTGGAGGTGCATATGCACAGATATAGGTAGATCAGGGTGCCGGGCGGGAACAGTGGGAGCCTCTATCTTCCCACTGAAGTGCTGTCCTTGCTGTGGACCAGGAAGCAGAGCCCCAAGATCACGGTGTTGCCACGAGTCCTCAGGGGCAGCCGAGCCCTCCAAGGAGAACACACCTGCTCCCCGGCCAAGCCCTGGACTGGAGCAGATGCCCACGCTGCGCATATGGACTCAGTCCACCGAGCGTGGGCCCCGGAGAGCGGCCCCGCTGCTCACCGCCCGCACATCCAGCCCAGGAGACGGCACAGCCCGGCCTCTGGCCCCGCACGCACCGCAGGCTCAGATGGGCCTGCTGCCGGGGCATTCCCAGCCCGGTCCTGGGGGTCAGAGGGCTCTGTTCTTGCCGGAAACTGGTGGGGTTTCCGCAAATATAAGAACACGGACGTTCTTGGCCGCTCCCTGTTGCTGAGGAGTTTCAGTGCACGAACTCCTGGCTGTCAGATCTCCCTGACAGGATGCGTCCTTGCTGACCGTTAAGGCCACTGCTTTCCCCCCCAAGAACCTGGGCAGGCTCCTGCTTGGCCTGTGGCTTGTTGGGGGGGGAGGGGAGGGGGTGTGCCTCAGTGCCAGCTGCAGGGACGCCCACGGGCACAGGCCACACGGGAGGCGCGTGTGAAACCA